TTGAAGAATGGCGCCAAGCCCGAAGGTATGACAGTTACCCCCCGCCTTTGGCCTAGCTGCTCCCTTAGTGCCTTCCTAACAGCCCGCCCACCACCAGTGCCTCCAAGGATAACCACAGAAAAATGGGCTGTTTGCCACAGCCCGAACCCTCTGCAAAGCTTCCATAGTTACAGCCCCAGGGAACAATCATGCCCTCCACCCCCAATCAGCACCTGCTACCCGCCAGGTACCCGTGAGCATGAAAATAGCAATTCCTTCGCATTCAGACATCAGTTACTTGGTGAAACATTTCTAGGTTTATCAGCTAAGAAGCTCCTCATGACAACCCAGAGAGGTAGGGGAGGAGAGATGACAGTACCCATGGAATATGCCTATGTATTCAGAAATGCAGCTCAGAGAGGAGGTATCAAGTCCACTAGTTCCCAAGGTGCAGCACACGCCCCACAGGGGGGCAATCTGATTTTAGGTGAGACAATTTGAGCATGAGTTAACAATGAATTTTTTCCATTTCTTATGGTTCTAGGGGACTCCTCTACAGCGTATATCCTGCATAATGCAGGCTAATGTACAAATGTCCAAATGGTGGAATGACTGGTTCCTATAATGCACACTGACCACCAGGATGCAGTCACTCAACGCAGAAAATAGGCCCCTGGTTGTCAGTGGCTCCCACAGGGGGAGGGTCACTCAGCCAGAAGCCGGGCTCACTGCTGGCCAGCGCAGAGGCAGTGGTGGGAGCCTCTCCCGCCTCCCTGGCCATGCTGAGGATGTCCCACTGACGGCTTAGGCCCACTAAGCCATCAGTCCAACATCACCATTGGTATTCCAGACTGGGAGAGGGTGCAGGCCAGGCTGAAGGGCACCGGGCCTCTAGTCTATACATAAAGAAAGCAGATTGGTCTTTGTCAGGGGCTTGGGGACAGGGAGGAATTCACTGCTGGCCTGCATGAGGTTCCTTTTTGGAGGACATAGAACCATTCTGGAATTAGACAGCAGTGAGCACAAAGCAGAACAATATGACTACACCAACAACCATGGAATTACACATTTTGTAAGGATAAATCATGTTTTCTGAATTTCATCTCAAAAAAAATGTATGGACAAAAGTAATCTACCTGCAAGACAGACAGAAACCACAATTTTAAGATTTGGCCTCAGAAGGCACAAAGCATTCCTCCTGTTGGGTGCACTAGAAGTGAGTGCCTAAGTCTGGCCCACATTCCCAGTTAGGTTTTACACTTCTATCACCACCTCACTCTCCTTTCAGTGTCACACGGGAAGGTATGACGTCAGTCACCCATCTGCAGAGGAGGCTCAGGCTCAGAGAGCTCCAATACCTTCCCAAGGCCACAAGGACAAGGGGCCTAGAACTCACACTGCAACCTAGAACCAGCTGACCCCAAACCTGTGCTGGTGACCTCCATCAGGTGTGGATTTTCACCCCCCACATCTTTGGGAACCATGGACACTTGGGACAACCCCTCCCCAGAACGTGTACATCATTTCTGCGGCTGGTTCCATACACCTGAGCGTTTTTATCTCCCCAGGTGTTTCTCAGGTGAACTCTGTGTAGAGAATCACCCCTAGGTGCCTGATGGCTTCATGCTATTCCCATGGCTAACTGGCTCCAGCTGGCTGCTGGGTGATTGGGGCAGTGCCCCTGCCCAGCTCCAGTGACTGACTGCCACTGTGACAGCACAATGCCTGCCTGAGGAGGAGGCCCTCGGGAAACACCATTGGACAGAAGGACTCACAGCAAACTGCCGCTCAGAACCTCAGCTGCCCAAGGATTCCGCTGGAACTCAGGGGCGCACAGTTGGCTGGCGCTGAGGAGCTGCCTGTCTGGCCTCTCCAGTGGGCAGGAGGTCCGGGCCCACTTGGTAGGGACCCCTGCTGCCCACTGGGCACCTCAGCTCGGCCCAGAGCACAGTTGGTAGGAGAACTCTCTACCCAAGCTCCCTCTCCCACTTCCCAAACTCAGAGGCCCGGCACAGGGCCTAGAACCACTGAGGCTGCGTGGCTGCTGAATCACCATGGATCACCGAAGCCGATCTCACAGCAGACGCCTGGGCCGAAACCCTCGCACTCGGTCCCAAACCCCCAGTGTCCCGCTCCCCTTCCATGTGGAACGGGGGGTCAGAGAGATAGGAGGACGGGAGCAGCGAGAGCCCCCCAGGCAGAGGACTGCTGTCCACACGCCCCCGGAAAGGGAGGAGCTGCCAGACAATGTGATGGGTAAGGACCAGCTCTCCCCCCTCAGCAAAAGGGAGGTGGCTTCCTATCTTTCTTCCTGTTCCCACAGGAGACAGGGGTCAGGGACCACAAAGCAAACCTATCCTGGACAGGCTGCGGTGTGGGTGAGTTTGGAAAGGGCAGGTTCCTGTGGGCCTCAAAGGGCTGTCACAGGAGCAAAGCTATAATGTGTGAAAGTCACTTGTAACCCAGACAGGCTGGTGGTGTTTACAAAACCAAGTACTTACAATAGCAACTTCCTTGAGGAGGAGCCTTGGGAAACAGATGAGTTTGACATGGACTTCCTCCCCAGGTAGCTGACAATCTAAAGGAGAAAAGGCAGTCAGTTAGGGCAGCTTCTGAGGGATTCGGAAGAAGGACGAGGGCTCAGGAAGATGGGAATCTCCTGGGGACATAGAAACTGCCAATGGCTCCGGCCACTGCGTGTGGGCTGGGTCTCACCTCTCCTGCCCTGCCCCATCCTCACCTGCCATTCCAGCCAAAGAGTTAGGAATGGTAGATTGTCAGAGAGGGAACCACACTGAGCTGGGAGAAGAAGTAAGTTCTGGGAACTCACCCAGTGCTGATTTAAAACAGAAGACATACCTTAAGGCAGACAGGGTGAGGTCACCAAGCTGTGACTTCCCGGCTGGAAAAGGTCCTTTCCTGCTGGAAGAGAATAAAGGGTCTTCAGATACTGCTTTTTAGGTGAGACTTTTCTTCTCCAGTTTTCCCAGGACTTAAAAGGGTAAGGCCGTGCGGGAAGTCAGGGCACTGTTCACCAGGCTCAGCACAAGGACAAGGAAAATAAACTTTAAAGGTATAAAAGGCAGCATTTCAGAGGCAGAGGGTTCATGTCACCTTAGGGGAGGAGCAGGATGGTGTGGTGCAGAGATGCTTTTAGGCGCGGGGTGGGGAAGGGTGAGAAGGATGTAACACAGGCTGCGTGCGAAGACCCCTCATCTGTGATGGCGGCAGCCCCCGGCTCCCATAATGGTGCAAGGCCCGGCCGCTGTAATGGCAATAGTACTGCCCCTGCAATGGCGGCAGCCTGGCTCCCATAATGGCGGCAGGCCCGGCTCCCGTAATGGCGATAGGACCGGCTCCTGTAATGTAAAGGTCCAAAAATCAGGACTTTTTTAAAACGCCACAGGACGCCTGACAAATTGTTAAAAATTGGGACTGTCCCGCCAAAAGCGGGACGTCTGGTCACCTCACTGTAATGGCGGCAAGCGTGACAGGCCCGGCTCCTGTAATGGAACCAGACCCGGCAGGCCTGGGTCCTCTAATGGCGGCAGGCCCGGCTCCTGTACTAGTGACAGGCGCCACAGGCCCGGCTCCCGGAATGGCGCAGGCCTACCTGCTGCAATGGCGGCAGGACGGCTCCTGTAATGGCGGCAGGCCAACAGCAGAGTAGCAAAGGCGGGCGCTTTGGGGAAGAGATGGGCCTAGAGGGACGAGCAGGGCCTCAGACCATGCAGAGAGCCGGCAGCAGGGAGGGCAGGGGCGGGAGACCCGGCACAGTGGACGCCATTACTGGGCCTCCCACCAGTTAGGCTTCCGGGTGGCCGCGGACTGGGCATGCGCCTTCCGGCCTGCCCCCGGGGCGCATGCGCCAGCGGCCGTGAGGGCGGGGCGCAGCGGGCAGGGCCAGGAGGAGGGTCACGTGTGAACAGGACAGGTGTCCTCTCTGCCTCGAAGGGCCGTCGCAGGTGGAAGGATAGAATGCTGAAAACGGCGTGAAGCTGAGCCAGGCAGAGGGGAGTGCTAGGCGTTACCCATAAAACCTAGTGCTCACAGTGGCAAATATGAATTCCACACCCACTTAGATCCCAGGGACCTGGCAGGATAGCCGTCTGCAGGATTCAGAAATAGGACGAGAGCTCACAGGAGGATAAAAGGATAAAAGGGATTCTGGCCCCTATAAAGTGATAGGATAATTGTCATCCAATGGAACAATAATGTCCTGGGAGAAAGTGTAGGAACTTTTCAAGTCTTGATGGGAAAAACAGAAGAAAAGATACCTTGAGGCAGGCTTATGTCACCTAAGTACCTGCCCGCCCTTGCTTGCTGGAGAATAAATGATTAGACCAGTGGCAGGCAAACTCATTAGTCAACAGAGCGGCAAACCAAGGCTCGCCAGCCGCATCTGGTTCGCGAGCCATAATTTGCCGACCACTGGATTAGATAGACCTTTCTTCTCCCAAGTTTCCTGGGACTTGAAAGATATGCAATTAGCGGGGGTAGCCATGGCACTATTCACAGAGATCACTCACTTCAAGGAAAACAGTTACAAGCATAACATGCAGGCGGATCAGAGGCAGACAGGTTACTTTCAGTTCCTTAAGGGGGATGGTGGATGGTGTTGAGGCTTTTGGGAAGAGATGGCCGGGGAACCATGCACAGGACGGAACCTTAAGGCTAGGCCAGTCACTGGCCTCTCCACAGCTTTCGCTGAGGGGCTGCGCGCCAGGCTGGTCCTCCCCAAGGCGCAGGCGCAAAAGCGGGCCGCGGCCAGCAGGCCACGTGGCAGGGCTCAGGGTTGGGGGTGGGGGCTTGAGGGGGATTGCTGTGGGAGTCGGGGCAGCCTGGAATCCGGCGAGCGGAACGCCGGGAGGGGGCGCAGGGGGCGGGGGGCGGGGGGGAGGGCGGGGCAGCTCTCGCGAGGCCGCGCAGGCTCGCGGCGTGACCAGCGCGGGATCGGCGCAGCCTGGCGGCGGGAGAAGTAGCGCTCGCGCCAAAGAACGTGCGTCTGCGCTCGCGTGGTCATGGAGGCGCCGGGGTTGCCGCCAGCCGCGAAGACTCCAGCCGCCAGCCGGAGCCTCAAGCTGCTGCTGCTGCCGCTGCTGCTGTTCCTGCTGCTGGCCCAGACCCTGCGGGGCTCGGAGGCGGAGGAGAGGCCCCGAACCCGGGAAGAGGAGTGCCACTTCTACGCGGGGGGACAAGTGTACCCGGGGGAGGCGTCCCGAGTGTCGGCCGCCGACCACTCCCTGCACCTCAGCAAAGCCAAGAGTAGGTGGTGCCCCGCCGAGGGGGGGTGAGCGGTGGCTGAGGGAGGCGGGAAGTTGGGAGGACCGGGAGACACGTGTGTCCTGCTTAGGCTCCCGGGGAGCCTGACTGGGGCGGCGCCCCCCACCCCCACCCCCTGCCCGGTCCTGACTCTGGTCCCCGGGCGGGCCTGGCTCTTTGGGAGCAAGGGTGGAGGGTTCCTGCTGTGAGAAAAGGATTGTTTCCATTAATCAGATTTTGTAAGTAGTGGTTACCCCAGAAGCCGCAGAAAAAGCAAAGAGGGTGGTCCAGGTCCCGGGCTTGCAGGCATCGGAGGATGTTGTGCAAACTGAAACACTTCCTCAAACATTGCAAAGTGGCTGCAGCCGATCGCGTCTGTTTCCAAGTCCTAGTCCAGGGAAGACTGGGTTAAGTTGAATAATGATTCATAGAAAGTTTGGTTAAACAGAAAATTGGCTAAACAAAATGTTCAGGAGAGCAAACATGTCACCTTTTTCTTTGTTTTCATCGTATAAAAACTATGAAAAGCCCTTCCCCAAAGCCTATAATAAATGGGTATTCTTTGTGTCTCTTAGAAGTGAAGAACTTCTTACAGGGTGCGTTTTGAAGGCTCTTTGTAAGGAAAGGAAGAAAAAGGTTCAACGTAATGTGTTTTGGTTGATGATAAACCTCCTGGCAAATTTGTGTCCTGCCAGTTTGGCTTTTGATTATTTACATTTCTGTCCAGTGTACACAGGTAATGGCCACTTTCAGGAAGGACACGTCAGGCTGAGATACTGAGAAAGTTATCGCCTGCTGCCTCTAGGTGTTAAGATTAGCCAAAAAGAAGTGGGCAGGGACTAAAGGATAAAGACTGTCCCTTGCTTGCTTTTAAATAACCTGCTTTTCCTACAGCATTCTGAAGATGTGTATTGTGGTTCAATTACACCATTTCTATGCCCATATTCAGTGAAAAAAGTGTGCTTCACAGTTACCAATCCTCAGTGTTAAGTGGGACGTTATAACTTAGGACAGAGTGGGAGTAATAAATGAGAAAAACTGTTTTGCCTTCTTAAACATGTGCAGTTCTTTCCTCCTGAAAGTTAACTACTCTTGGATTTTGTGTTTGTAAGAAACCAGTCTCACGCTGTTGGTTTGTTTTGTTTTTTTAAACAGCATGTGTATTATTTCACAGGAGGCTTTAGCTGGGTTCTCTGCTCAGGATCTTAACAAAATGCAGTCAAGAGGTTGGCTGGGCTGCATTCCTTTCTGGAGCTCAGCATCCTCTTCCCAACCCACAAGGTGGTGGGCAGAATTCAGTTCCTTGAGGTTAAGGACATGGTCCCTGTTTTCTTCCTGGCTGTGACCTGGTGCCACGCTTAATTCCTAGGAACCAGCTGCTTGCAGTTTCTTTTCTTTTTCTTTTTTCTTAATATATTTTATTGGTTTTTTACAGGGAGGAAGAGAGAGGGATAGAGAGTCAGAAACATCGATGAGAGAGAATCATCGATCAGCTGCCTCCTGCACACCCCCCACTGGGGATGTGCCCGCAACCAAGGTACATGCCCTTGACTGGAATCGAACCTGGGATCTTCCAGTCTGCAGGCCGATGCTCTATCCATTGAGCCAAACCGGTTTTGGCTGCTTGCAGTTTCTTTATTCTCAGGCCCTCTCACCGCATGGCAGCTTATTTTGTCAAGGCCAGCAGGAGAATCTTTGAGTCCCAGTCTTGCGCTTTTAAAATCACAGTATTTCAAAGTGTCGTTTGTTTCACTTACCTGGGAAGATCTTTTGAACAGTGTCAGGCATTGCATATTTCCTATAAGAAACAAATCCCATCCAAGTCTGCTCATAAAAGCAAAAAACAGTGGTAATAGATTTCCCTTGACCAGAGAACGTCTTCACATGTTAGATATTTGCTACATCTCTGTGTCGTGTAGGTTTATCTAGAATTAAAGATACAAGGACTTTTATTCATAAAGTGGAATATTATTAAGGTCATGCTTTAAAATAATTTTTAGTGACATGAAAACTGCAAATGATTTACTGTTGGTTTTTTTTTTTAAAGGGGTGCAACAAGATCCAAATTTGTGTTTAAAGGAAAGACATCAGAACGTTAACAGTAGTTAAATTAATGGGGTTATGGGAAGAGAAGGTTTAAATATCCTTTATACTGCTTTGCATTTGCCGGAATCTGTTGCATGATTTATATTCAAGATTTTAATACACACAAGGGGTTGCTTTGGGAATTCCATTTATAGATCGTAGCAAAGTTAACTGCATTCTTTTTTTGCTCCACAAATTGATGACAGTTTTTTTCTTTGAATTAACTTTGTAATTCTTAAGAACCCAAAATTTTCAAACTCAGAATTTTGAGAACAAAATTTATTTCTCAGACTTGGTTGTCCTCATATGCTAGCATCATTAAGGAATAACAGGTCATTTATTATTCCTACCACAAATTTACTTAATATATCCTGTTAACCAACCCCATTGAGTAACCTTTTCAGTAATGTATACAAAGCATGTATAGTTCAGTACCCTTCTACTAACTTAATTCCCCCCCTTGGCTTTTACCTAATCAGATCAGGATATTTATATGAGGTAGCCTGCTGACTCAAGACAAGTAATCACATGTTATATATTCACTTCACAGAGAAATTCATCTTAAGTTTATGTCTCTTTTCAGAGTGACCAAAATGCTGGCTGTTATACCAAATATAGTAAATGCTGGCTATTATGAGCCTTACTTTCTAGGAACCATAGTCAGACTGGGAAGCAAGAATTGACTTCCATATGTGTAATGGTTCTGAAAGTTCAAGTGTTATCTGAATGTAACAGAAGGTATATTCTCAAAGCATGTTGGCTAGAATTGCAGCATGCCCTTACAAGACAGCAGCACCAACTATTAAATTTGCATTAGGTCACTTGAAACCTGTCCCAGGGGGTCTCTTCTTTCAAAGCCCTCTAGGAAAAGAATCCCATGGTCTGGGATTGTGCACTTCTGGCCTGATGTATTTGTACACTTCCTACTCTTTGAGTGTGGCTACAGGTCCTCCGTGAGTATGTGAGAAACTGGACAAATGTTTAAATCAGTACACCTGAGCTGAAACCGGTTTGGCTCAGTGGTAGAGCGTTGGTCTGCGGACTGAAAGGTCCCAGGTTCGATTCCGGTCAGAGGCATGTACGTTGGTTGCGGGCACATCCCCGGTAGGAGGTGTGCAAGAGGCAGCTGGTCGATGTTTCTCTCTCATCGATGTTTCCAGCTCTCTATCCCTCTCTCTTCCTCTCTGTAAAAAATCAATTTAAAAAATAAATAAATCAGTACACCTGAAAGACTGCCATTAGGGAAAGGCATATCTAATTATCTGAAATATATTGTTATTCAACTTGGAGGGGCTATAGTGAAGGATCCAGTAGAGGGTAGTGCAGGGATGGGATATAGGGGACGGGGGTCCTGTGAGCATGAATAGAATTAAAAGCATTGTCAATAACCTCCAACTGAAATTGAGCATTACTTTCCATTATAAATATCAGCAACAAACCATATTAGCTTCAGCAGGACTTGCTTGTACCTGTTGTCAATAGACCCCCAGGTATTTTCATGCCATATTGTGGTTGTTGGCTGTTATAGGTATCCTGAAACATTTACACTCTTCACTATTTTTGGTAGTTAATTAGATCACTGCTAGATCTTGCATTTTTAAAGTCTTAATATAAGGGAACATGTATTACCACATCACCAATATGGGTCTTTTGTCAAATTTTGATCATTTCATTTTAATATAATTTTGCTCCTTTGTAATTATGTATATTTTATTTTATATATACGGCACAATAACACTATTCTGAGAAGTATGTAAGCTTCACCTGACCGCTAAAGAGGTCCAAAGGTTTAGAACCCTTGATTTTTAGTAATTTCCTAAAGCTCTCCTCCTGTCATCCCATCAGTTTTCTCAGTGTTATAAAACATCCTATATTTTTCTTCCTTAGTTTCCAAGCCAGCACCTTATTGGGAAGGAACCGCTGTGATAAATGGAGAATTTAAGGAGCTCAAGTTAACTGATTACCGTGGGAAATACCTGGTTTTTTTCTTCTACCCGCTTGATTTGTAAGTAATACATGTACACAGCAGCTAGTAAGACCTCAGTTATTACCAATCATTAATCAAGATCAGGACTCGATCCCCAGCAGAGGGTGTGTAGGAGGCAGCTGATCAATGATTCCCATTATTGATGTCCTCTCTCCCTCTCTCTTCTATGAAATCAATAAAAATATATATTTTAAAAATGGTTTAAAAATAGTTTCTTTACAAAAAATAAGATAGGCTAGATTTGGCCTGTGGCTGAAAGTTTGCTGACACCTAGTCTATCCAAATGGGAAGGATTCTCAAAAAAATTAGTACATGGAGATTAATACAAGTCATGAAGCTACATAATACATAACCTTTTAAATTAAGCTTGACTAGCTGAAATGTATAATCTAATTTTCAATAGAAACCAGAAGTTGAAGTCTTAATATATAAAAAGTATAGGTCTTCTAAATTCATGTTCTAAAACCAAAGTTAAAACGTATGTAAAATAAAACATTAAATCTGAATTCTGAAATTAGTCTAACATAGCAGACAAATACGCTGTCTCTCCAGTGTTATTTAAAACTCCATAATAAATAAGACATAGCTAATTATGCATGATGTTAGTAATGGTCTCCTGGCTAAGATAGCTTCTTTCTGTTGTTACTGTATAAAGTCAGACTGGACCTGGTTAGATAAGGAAGAATTCTCAGGCATTTGTCACAGTTTATAAGGATGAAAGTCACAAACAATCCTTCAGTTTTCTGCCAGACCTTTTCCTCTGTCTTCACTAATAAGTCAGGCAAATGTGTCTCTAAGTAGCATTTCTTGGGATAACAGGAAGGAAGGCAGGGCCTGACCATACCTACATTGTGGAAAATATTAAAAATACACAGTATAGCCCAGGTTCCAGGGACCTAGTCTAGAACTTTCTGCTTGCATATGACAGTCCTCCACTTGAACAACTGAAACATTTGAAAAGCCTATGTTGGGGGGTGGTAGGAACTTGGCCCCTAAATCTACATTTTTTTTTAACTTTCTTGGCCATCACACACAATAGGAAATAAATGTTTAATTGCTGCCCAATACACTTACACATACATAAACGGTAACATTCAGTCTGTATGCACCAGTACAGCCATGCTATACTGAAATACTGAAAAACTTCCAGACCAGAGGGTAAATAGCCACTTTCTCAACCACTTCCCCAAGTTGCTCCTCCTACCTGATCCTTTTTCGAAACCTCCAGCACTAAAGCCAATCTATATATATAAAAGGCTAAGCAATTGGCCCGTAGGTATGACATACATGCACTGACCACCAGGGGCAGATGCTCAACATAGGAGCTGCTAAGTGACAGTAACTTTGCAGAGTGCCCTTGGGGAATGTCAGACTGCCAGTTTTGGCCTGATCCCCACAGACCAGGCTGAGGGACCCTGCTCACTCCGCAGACACCCTTTGAGCCCTGGTGCCACCCCAGGTGTGGCCGGCCAGGGAGGGACCATGGGAGGGACCCAGTCTCACCCAGCCCTGCCCCATCAGCCACTTTCTAATTAATTTCCTTTCAGTGTGCATGAATCCGTACACTTGGCCTCTAGTTTTGAAATAAGGTTGTTAAATATTTTTAGTATTATTCCTGAACACACACATATATGTACATGCACTGGTATATACATGTTTCATTACTTACCCTTACTGTGAAGGATGTATTCTCATATTTTGTATTTCACTGTTTTAAAATGCTAATTGGAACTCAGTAAATTGACTTAATTCCTACCACAGCTTGAAAAACAATACCCTAAGGTAATATTCTCTAAATAATACCCTTCTGACAACGGGACTTTATCAAAAAATGGAGGGAATTGGAGGGCATTTCCTCATTTCCAAAATCCAAATAGATGCATCTAGCTCATAAGGCTGGTATAGGAATGTAAAAATCATGAAATGTCAGATTTGGATAGATCCTTTGAAAGCTGTAAAGCATTTTAGACTACTCAATATTGAGAGGATTCATATATAAAGTTGTTCTTAATGTGCATTTTTATATACTAAATGTGTTTGTAAAGACTTGAGTCATTTCAAACTCGCATATATGTGTATTTTGAAAATACTGAGTATATTTTCTTTTTACTTTCAGCACTTTTGTGTGTCCAACTGAAATTATCGCCTTTGGTGATAGAATTGAAGAATTCAGATCCATAAACACTGAAGTGGTGGCATGCTCTGTCGATTCTCAGTTTACCCATTTGGCCTGGTCAGTATCTTACATTTACATTTGTAGAAAAAAGAATGAATTTACTTTTAAATTATTGGCAGACTACTCTTAACATTATAGGAATACAGTTATTTATCAGACAATTCAGATTTGTCTGAGTATAGCTATCTAGTTCAATGAAGTTACATAAAAATAAAATTGAGGGGGAAAGTTCAATGCAAAAGATGTCCATAACAAAAACTATTGAGTTGCATGATTATTTTATTATGACAAATTTTGGGTAGCCTTAATCTGGGGAGGAAAATGTTTAAAATACCATTTCTCTGTTATACAGTTGTATAGTATAAAGGCAAATTCAAAATAGCTTTTATAATTTTCCAGAAGCAATGATTTTTAATTTTAGAAATATTTTAATTAGTTGTTTCACCTAATTAATTGCAAGTTAAAGTTTCAAAGTTGGGAAGAAACAGCATTCCCAAACACACAGGTGGTTCAGCATTTCTGGAAAATAGTTGGGTAACATGTTTCAGAATCTGAAATATGTGTGTTGATGTGTTCTTAATCATGTCCACAATTTTTTGCACAAAATGTTATGCATGATAAAGACTGTTCATTGTTTGAGCCAAAACCAGTTTGGCTCAGTGGATAGAGCGTTGGCCTGCGGACTGAAAGATCCAAGGTTCGATTCCGGTCAAGGGCATGTACCTTGGTTGCAGGCACATCTCCAGTGGGGGAGGAGGGATGTAGGAGGCAGCTGATCGATGACTCTCTCTCATCGATGTTTCTAACTCTGTATCTCTCTCCCTTCCTCTCTGTACAAAATCAATAAAATATTTTTTAAAATAAAATATATATAAAAAATAATTATCACTATAAAAAAACTTAACATTAAATTCATAGAGTAACAAATTCAAAACAAGTTTTCCTCCATTTACAATTATGTGTACATATAAATTATATGTGCCTGTATATGTATATAAAACTAAAATTTTAATTGGTTCAGGAGCCACAACTTTAATTTATATTACCTTAAGTACTTAACTCTCAATTTTTTAAAGCAATTATATATTTTATTTTATTTTCCTTGAGTATCCCAAAAATATAAGCAATTCTTGCAATCTAATAAATAGATGTGGTGCATCTTAAGTCCTTTTAAATTGTTTCGTTACTATTTGTAACGAAACTAAAATTTCAATTTACACATTTTAAATTGGAATCAGAAGGTTTATATGTTATTCTAATATGCCAAATGCTCTTAAACATTATAAATAACTCATTATACAAATAGGTACTAATTATTTCTCAATGTAAGAATATTAAAACTATGGGTTTAATTTGCTTTATTACTTCTATAGTTAATTCTGTATCTCCATATGATTAAAATAAATCCACTAAGGGAAAACATCTATGCCATCCCAAATAATTTGGGATTATCTTTCCAAGGAATTCTTGGGTATGCATTCTCAGCTGGATAGGTTTCATGTCAACCAGAGATTTCTACTTGGATGTCAGAACTGGGGCTGCAAACATGGGGAGCGTTATTTCCCTGTTTTCTGGCTGCTATGTCAATGTCTTCCAGTTGGGGCACCAGCCCACATCCCCCAGTTTCAACTTAAAGAATACTTAAATCTCAAAACTTATGTGTCTGAGATTATAACTAACTTCCTTCATTGCTGCAATTAGACTGCATTTCTTTGTCTCTCAGAATATTAAAATATCCCATTGTTTGCCTGACTCTCAAGGAATTGCCTTATGATCACAATTCTAAGGTTATGCTTATGACAGTGTCTATTCTTTATGCATTAATTCTACTTTTAGAAATTAATCAGACAAGTGTATAATGTTAAGAGTACAAGGATGTGCCGAAGCCATTTGGCTCAGTGGATAGAGCATTGGCCTGTGGATTGAAAGGTCCTGGGTTCGATTCTGGTCAAGGGCATGTACCTTGGTTGCGGGCACATCCCCAGTATGGAGTGTGCAAGAGGCAGCTGATAGATGTTTCTCTCTCATTGATGTTTCTAACTATCTCTCTCCCTTCCTCTCTGTAAAAAAACAATAAAATATATATATATATTTTTTAAAAAGAACACAAGGATATTCCCAACAGTGTTTATAAGAGCAAAAAAAAATTGAAGCAATTTAAATGTATGTCAGTAGAGATTAGTAAAATGTGGTATGTTTATACATTAAAAATGTGATGTGTGCCGAAACCGGTTTGGCTCAGTGGATAGAGCGTCGGCCTGCGAACTGAAAGGTCCTGGGTCTGATTCCGGTCAAGTGCATGTACATTGGTTGCGGACACATCCCTGGTGGGGGGTGTGCAGGAGGCAGCTGGTCGATGTATCTCTCTCATCGATGTTTCTAGCTCTCTATCCCTCTTCCTTCCTCTCTGTGAAAAATCAATTTTAAAAAAATGTGATGTGTAGCTCCATATTTAGTATTTAAAGGATATGAATATATTGTTAAGTGGGGGAAAGGGCAAGAAAATAGAATGCATATTAGCCTGTCTTTTTTAGAGAAAGAATGGGTGTGTGGCATTTGTCCGTGTGTGTACATGCAGAGAAAAAGAGCTGTTTTCATATATGCCATTTACTTAACTCTAAGAGGTAAATGTTCTGTTTGTTATAGGATCAACACCCCTCGAAAACAAGGAGGACTTGGACCAATAAAGATTCCACTTCTTTCAGATTTGACCCATCAGATCGCAAAGGACTACGGTGTATATCTGGAAGACTCAGGCCACACTCTTAGGTACCTTTTTAGTGGTTTTACATTATGATCAATCCAAATATATTTGTCACCCTCATTTGAAACAGAGTTGGGAGAGACAAAGTTTGATCAAAAAATATTATATTTGCCAAAACCGGTTTGGCTCAGTGGTAGAGCGTCGGTCTGTGGACTGAAGGGCCCCAGGTTCGATTCCGGTCAGGGGCATGTACGTTGGTTACGGGCACATCCCCGGTAGGGGGTGTGCAGGAGGCAGCTGGTCGATGTTTCTCATTGATGTTTCTATCTCTCTCCCTTCCTCTTTGTAAAAAATCAATAAAATATATATTTTAAAAAGAAATATTATTTGCTCTACTTGCAAAAATGGTATAGATACTCTTTAAAATAATTAGTGCCATAGACTGTTAGAGCTGGAATATTATGTAAAGTTCTTTGACCAACCCTGTCTTTATTTTACAAATAAACAGATTCATAGAGTTCCATAAACTTAGCCAGAGAATATAATTAGTTAATGGCAGAGTGTAGACTTGAACCCTGGTCCCCAAACTCTTTGTCCATTTCTTTCTCCTCTTCTCCAAACTGACTCTAATAATGGTTTTCCTTAAGACAAGTATCATAGTATTTAGTAAATCTTTGTCTTTGGAGTAGGAAAAATTAAGGAAATATTTTACCCAACAGCTCTCACTGGGTTACTTGAGCTAATAAATGCTAATAGAATTCTTTGGGTGAAAAGGGAGAGTTTTAGCTTAAAACAACTAATTTTGGTATAGTCGTGTTATTTATTAGCTTTTCAATGCTAATAGCTTTTTTAAGTGTTTTTTTTTTTTTGTGAAAGTTTCATTATTTTATAATCCTGTTTTTTTAATAACAGCTTGACTGAGATATATCATATACTATATGACTCACCCAATATAAAGCATACAATGCAATACTTTTAGTATATTGAGTTTTGCAGTGATCACCACAATCAATTTTAGAACATTTTCATTATTCCAAAAACAAACCTCATACCCATTTTATTCCCCCTTTTCCCTAATTTTCTAGTTCCTACTACTGCCTGCCTTGTTTTAGTGACACACATCTTCATAGATTCTTAGTAAAAGATCTTTAGAAGGTAAAATGGTTTGAGACCTTACATATCAGATAATGTTTTTATTCTACTCTCGTGATGATTAATAATTTGGCTGGATATAGAATTATAGATTGAAAGGCAATTTTTCTGCAAACATTTGAAAGCATTGCCCTGCTTCCTTTAGCTTCTGGGGTTGTTATTGAGATGCCATTTTAATTTCAGATTTTTGTATGAATGACCTGTTTCTTCTCTGTGGAAGAGACATACATGTATATTACACCAAGTGTGGCAAATGTATTAATCTCAAAGTCTACCAAAGAAACAGTTTGCAAAATTAAAACAGAAGACAAAAGCTAGAATTTGCTAGCAAAGGAAAGGCAGGTTTGTTTTTGTGTGGTGTGTGTTACAGAGGAAAGCTCAAAATTTTAGATGAGGCTCACTTACTTCAGAACAGACTTGATTACCATTGACAACAGTTTTCAGCTATAAAAGCAGCTACATGAAAGAACACCCGTAAAATAACTACTGGTCCAGTGCACGAAATTCATGCACATTGACTAGAGGAAATAATTTAATATTGCTATTTGCCCTTTCTCTATAATAGAAGTGTCAGAGGTGAAAGAAAATTAGTAAAATGTATATGAAAACCTTCCTCCTGTCAGAGTCTGGGGTGCACCATGGGACCCAGAATCAAGCCCTCCCACATGCTCCTCAAAAATCGTGTGAGACCCAGACCTGGCCACCCCTCCCCACTGGGCTAGATCCAGACCCGGCCAGTCCCACCCTGTCAAGCCCCACCGAGCAGAAGGCATGGCCTGAAGTCCTCCAGCCCAGACCGGGGCAGGGGATGTGCCTTGAGGTCCCCCATCAAGACCGGCCTGAGATCCCACATCAAGCACCGCCAGGTGGGGATGCAGCCTCAGGTCCCCCGTCAAGCTCCACTGGGCAGGGGGCACAGCCAACTTGAGTTTCCCTTACCCAGCACTGGGGTTGCACCCGCTGGGTGGGGGGCACAGCCTAAGGTCCCCTGTCAAGCCCCATGGGTGCAGGGGAGGGCTTAGCCTCAGGTCCCTGCTGATTGCTCATTAAAACTCCTTAAGGGAACTTGGCCTCAGCTGTGGGAGCAGCAATCTTTGTGATGGAGTGATGGTCAATTTGCATATTACTCTTTTATTAGATAGGATAATTAAGCAAGTTGACCTGGTCCAAGGATAGTGAGTCCTAGTTATTTCAGACATCAAGTTGCTCACTCAAAAAATGTATTGTGAGATAAGCACAAATACTTTAGTAATGTTTAATATGATTATGAAATAAGATATGAAATAGATATGTAATATCATGTATTTCTACTAAAAATATCCCATCATTTATAATACTTGTACACAAGCAATTAGCCCCAGTATCTGAGATCTTTTTCTAATCTAAAGTAAGTATTAGATTGAAATTCATATTGACATAAACAAACAATAAATTCTTTGAAAAAATTTTTCTCTGGTCTACTTTAACTCTTGCAATGCCATCACTATCTCAGTAACAGGTCTTTTAAATCAAACTACTTCATTACCGTGTTTCCCCGAAAATAAGACATCCTCCAAAAATAAGACCTAGTGCATGGAAAAATAAGACATCCCCTGAAAATAAGATCTAGCGCATCTTTGGGAACAAAAATTAATATAAGACTGTCTTATTTTCAGGGAAACGGTAGTCCCCAGGCCATAGACTCACACATACTTAGAGGGAAAGGTGACTTCACTTATATTGGTAACCTTTCTTTTTCCGTCATTAAAAGGAAATAAAAAGACATTCCAAACAGCCAGTGAAGAGAAAGATGGATCACTCCTTCACTTCAAGGAAGACTCTGCTGTGTAGTTTCCTCATTTCATTTACAGTACAATAAAATCCCAAACCTAGTGCACGTGAAGATTAAGCTGTAAATACTACAGGACATTTCAGAGACCAAAACAAAATTTTAAAGCTAATGGGGGGGGGGGTTGGTAAGAGAGGTTAAAGGAGAAATGTATACCTGAAACCTGTATCATTTCATTAACCAATGTCACCCCAATAAATTTAACTTTTTAAAAAATTTAAAGCTGCAATTTAGCAATTATAATCCCAAATTATATAGTAGATACGTGTGTGTGTGTGTGTGTGTGTGTGTGTGTATGTGTGTGTATGTGTGTGTGTGTTAGTCAAGTAGGTAGTGTGTTGATTCTGTATAACAATCCTGTGTGGATTCGCATTAACAAATATTTGTCTTAACTGAGGTGAAATGGCCTCACCCCTACCACTTTTGTGTTCTATAGAGGTCTCTTCATTATTGATGACAAAGGGATCCTAAGACAGATTACTCTCAATGACCTTCCTGTGGGCAGATCAGTGGATGAGACACTGCGTTTGGTTCAAGCATTCCAGTACACCGATAAACATGGAGAAGGTACTCTTTCCTTCCAAACATCATAGCCTTTTGATTTTTTTAGTTTGAGAAGAGGTAGCAGTATAACTAGTTTGGTTTATTATCCTATAAGTACATCGGATAGTTCCAAAGTCATCTGATTGACTGTTTTCAAATTATTAGCTAATCTTTTTAGTAAATCAAATTATTAAAGTGATTTTAATGAAATATCACTAATATATTCTACTAACTGAATTAAAAGATCCAAAAGTATTCATTATTTGCATAGTCCTTTTGGATAAGCAGAAAGAAAAGTTTCTGCTGCTGTAATATTTCAAATTATGTTTCTAAAGCTTAAAATGTACCATTCTAGCAATATTTAGTAACGTAGGTTTTATTTGCATCGGTACATTATTTGATTTAGATTTTTCCTCAATGTAATCCAGTAATCAACAAGGTTATTCAGGATCATACAAGTAATCTATTCATCCTTTCACTCCAAGTTTTTGTGGTAGCTAAATGGGAAAGGTCATATTTTCCTAAAATAAAATATATGTTTTATATTTCTTTCAAATGTATAACTCAGTGTCTGGGTCAAGGTATATTCCAAATAAAATCCTACTTTCTGAATAATTTTAAAGTCTCTTTTGACAAACAGCAAATCAGCTTATTTTAAGTTTATGTACATTGAGAAATTTTTGCCATGCCCAGACCTTTCAGTTCACCACATCCCAAAAGTTTCCAACTTTCTTAGAGGAGCACTCAATTTGGTTTTTTATACTGTAAATGCAAGTAAACATAATTGGCAAAAAGGAAAATAGATTAGCTACCTACTGCTAAGCTCTGTAACCAAACTTCCTTGGTGCTAGCAAGCAAGCTAAGAGCCAGGTGGTCAGTGGCCTAGAAATGGTCTCATTAATAGATGCTCCATTTTTTTTTTCATTCGGGAAAAGAAAAGCCAAGAGTTGCTGAAGAGAATTGAACTCTGTTTTTAAATTGTCTTTTACCAATTTTTGTTCCTTTCAGTCTGCCCTGCTGGCTGGAAACCTGGTAGCGAAACAGTAAGTCAAATTGATTTTTCTGTTAAGGGGATGTCTGGGACCAAACAAAAATGCCAGCCTTAAGCTCATCTGTAACAGCACTGTCTGGATTTTGTAAATGACTTAAACATTGCTCAGCAAAAGTCAGAAGAGCTCAGGCATTCTTTGAACTGTGGAGAGAGTAGCTGGCACCGGGGAAAGCAGAAGATAGGACTTCATGCTGTGAATTTAAAGCCTAATAACCAGCAGAATATGTCATTAACATCAACAACAACAAAAGGGAGCAGCGGAAAGTTGGTAGAATCAATTCAGAGGGCTGGGAGAACATTTGCAGAATTTCTTCCTATATTGAGGGCAAAGAAAACAGTCACAAGCAAAGCTTTTCTATACATAGTAAAAAGCTTTTGAAAAAAAATCAGGCTTACCTAACATTGAAGCTAATGATTCTCTCATCATTTGAAGGAAGAAAAGATTGAAGCAAGTACATTCATAGGGAGGCTGTATAGTTTATAGACAGTCCCTGAAGTAGTCTCTGGCCAAAATACATTAAGTAATCTTGAGAGAGAGAAAGAGAGGAAGGGAGAGGAATAGAGAGATAGAAACATCAATGAGAGAGGAACAGCATCGATCGGCTGCCTCCTGCACAGCCCCTGCTGGGCATTGAGCCCACAACCCAGGCTTGTGCCCTGAACCAGCAAACTCTTGGTTCCTGGGCCCAGTGCTCAACCGCTGAGCCACACCAGCCAGGCTTGAATCTTTAATGAACATGTTATCTTCTAAAAATCAAAGAGTTTTACACAAACTCCAGTTAGGAAAAATACCTAGAGAATTAGAGGAAGAAATCATTATCTTAGGATAAAAGAAAAATAGACTCCTAAGTCGTTCTTCCTTAGCAAACAACAACAAAACAGTACCATGAGAGGTAGAAATTCACTCTAACCCCACTCAGATGAGTTAAAATAACATTTCATTGATTTAAACTAGTTTCAGTAAGCATGCAAAGCAGCTTTGCCCTTATGGGTCAAAGTTAATGCTACAATACAATATTCAACTCCACACAGATCTCTGATGGATTTGAAGTTAAGCGTTAAAGAGACTTTGAGCACTAGGTGCTTTAAATTATAAATCAGTCATTGGGTTAATTTACAGTTATTGAGTGAGGCTCACAGATAGAAATATGAAGCAGAAGCTACAGGTATCACCTAAGAAGCCTTAAAAAGCATCCAGCTCGGGGCACTTCCCCCCAGAGCAAGAGCAGAACCAACAGTGACCGATGCATTAACATCACCTTGTATTGCAGACATGTGCTGAGAGAGCAGGATGAAATAAAGATGAAATATGAAACTAGTACAAGAAATACAGCAGTGGGGGGGGGGCTGTATAGTTTATATAGACAGTCTCTGAATAAAAAGACAGAAAGAAAGTAGATAGGAAGTAGGAAAGGGGGATATAGGATCAGCAAAGGTTTTGTGCTGGTGTGTAAGATAGATGAGTTTTTCACCTCTATATCCCTCAGTTTATTCAGTCTCTCTCCAATGCATGTCATTCTTCAGACCAGAACCTCATAGCGGCTCACCGACACGGGTCAAAGTCCGATATTCAGGGCACAGCCTTCAAGTCTTTGCATTCTGTTCCCATCAGTCTCTCCCAGGTCATCTTCCCTGTGATTCACGCACAAATGCTGTGTCCCGCCACATCATGACTCATCTTCCCTCCAATTAAGCCCTGTTTTGTCACACCTTTGTGACTTTGCTCAGGTCTTTCCAGAGCCTGAAATACCTGTCCCCTTCTCTAAATTCTGCTCCTCTTTCAAGACCACATGAAATGTCACCTCCATTCGGAGACCGTCCCTGATGCCATCTCAGCCCCACTGAGTCACACAGCCTGGGTCATACACATCAAAATAGCCACGGACACAGACATCCTTCCCACGTGCTTGTCTGAGCCTCAGAGGTGGTGACCATGGTAGCTATCCTACATCCCCATTGCCCAGTGCACTATTGGCACTAAGTAGTTATTCCATAAGTACCTAAAAATTGAATATTAATTTCAGAGAGGTTATAAACTGACAAAAACATAATGCTCCTTGAAGTGATGCCTGAAAAACTAGGTAATGTTGATTTTATGCTAAAGAAAAATTATAAAGACGACGCATATAGCCCTAACCTGTTTGGCTCAGTGGATAGAACATCAGCCTGCAAACTGAAAGGTCCCAGGTTCGATTCTGGTCAAGGGCATGTACCTTGGTTTTAAGCACAACCCCAGTAGGAGGCAGCTGATCAATGTTTCTCTCTCATCGATGTTTCTAACTCTCTATCCCTCTTCCTTCCTCTCTGTAAAAAAATCAATAAAATATATTTTAAAAAATAAAAATAGAAGACATATAGAACTATCATAAGGTGATTACAAGAGGTTTTTATATGTAGGGATGGAAGTACTTACCTCTTACTATCAAGTAAACAGGTCTAGTAGGGAGCTTTGTTGTTTGGAGTATTTTTCCATTCACTAGTTGTTGAAATTAATGGTCCATGGTTGCATTTGAGTATTTTTTTTTTTTACCTTTGCAGTTTGAGGTTAAAAGGTTGCATTTTGGACCTCCAAAAAAATCCACTTGAACACACTGCCCCCTTTTCTGGTGGTTGGCACCCCAACACTTCACCAGCAGATGATTTCAGAGATACATTAACATCTGTAGCCATGCTCTCTTAATGTGTTTGGTTTAATTAGATCAAACCCGAAGATGCCATGAAAGCCTGGTGGCCGAGAGAAGAGCTGTAAGTAAACTCGGGGGTGCTTGAGTACAGATGTTAATTTACTGACAAATGACTCCTTTTGGCATCGCTGAGATTAGTAGGCCGAACAAATCCAGTGTTTCCTATATACACATATATGATATCATTAGCACACAAACACAGTCTTCTTTAGTCAAGAGATGGGAAACTATTATTAGACAACTAATGATGAACGATCTGCTTTTTTCTTTCCATAGATAATCCCAGATCCAGCTGGCAAACTGAAGTATTTCCACAAACTGAACTGAAAAATTTCCTCAGGCCACGATGCTTGAATGCCTTCAATAAAAGGCGCCATGTTGTTACCACATTGCGTTACTGTAGTTACTTCTTGGAAAATATAAAACCACCATGCCAGGGTCCAAAGATATTTACTGTTGAAGTCAGACACTGATGCCAAAAGATAGGCAGTTATTCTCTCTTTCCAAACTAAGAAATGGCCGAAACCGGTTTGGCTCAATGGATAGAGCATCGGCTTGGGGACTGAAAGGTCCCAGGTTCGATTCAGGTTAAGGGCATGTACCTGGTTGCGGTCACATCCCCAGTAGGGGGTGTGCAAGAGGCAGCTGATCGATGACTCATCGATGTTTCTAACTCTATCTCTCTCCCTTCCTCTCTGAACAAAATCAATAAAATATATTTTTAAAAATGTCCAATGGAATGGAACTAGTAACAACAACTGCCATTTATGTGGTACTGCTACCTGCCAGGCATTTTATTCTACAGATGAAACTGAAGCTCAGATCAACTACTTACTCAAAGTCACACAGCGAGATAGAAAGGTAGAAAGATACTTTAACCCCAAACGGTCTCCTTCCAGTTCATGGCTCTTACCACTCATTACTGTTTTCATTCAACATACAGCATCTATCGATCGCCTACTTTACACTTGGTATATATTAGCAACCAAAGATAGTTTTCTGCCCTTAAGGAGCTCAGTGGCTCCCCTCTCTGTACCTTTGAGGGGGACAGCAAAGGACAGGTTTTGAGCACAGCCATCTGCCACACTGGTAAGGGACAGCTGAACCCAGAGCTCACTGCTCTGTACAACATGAAGCTATCTGGACACACACCCCCTTCTCTAAATTCATGTTTTCAACTTAAACCAACTATATAAGTAGCAATTTACCCGCTTAAATTTAGTTTAACAAAATTTGAATCTGTAAGCATATGTAGCTAGCTCTTTATATGTAACGCTGAACCCCAATGCTATGTCATCACCCCTTTTACCACCCCAATATGGAAATGACTTTCATAAGTATCTCTACGTGTGCCATGTAAGTATGTTCTAAATGATAGCTTACAGTTGAAATTTTAGAAGCCAACCTATTAGTAAAGTTGAAAGCTGCTAGTATTTTGGTATTCAAACAGGGTTGTAATAATCTTGTCAATACTCCCAATACAATTGGAATCTAATCTCAGATTTCCTCTTTCCAATCTGAAGCGGACAGATTTTTCACTCATGGAATAAGCCTGTCTCATGGAGCTTTTCTAACATGTTCTTTTTAGGTTTGTTTATAGGGAGGACAGCTATTTTTATATCTATTCCAAAAAGCCAGTCATTACTGTTTTCATTCAACATACAGCATCTATCCATCACCTACTCTACACACTTGGTATATATCAGCAACCAAAGATATAGTTTTCTGCCCTTTAGGAGCTCAGTACTTGATTACTGAAGCAGGTGCTGATAGCGTAATTTCTGGAGACCAACAAATGAGTGAAAATACATCCTGACTCACCACTTTGATATTAAATAGCCATGGATAAAACAGCAATAAATGCACTCCTGCTGAAACCGATTTGGCTCAGAGGATAGAGCGTCGGTCTGCGGACTGAAAGGTCCCGGGTTCAATTCTGGTCAAGGGCATGTACATTGGTTGCGGGCACATCCCTGGTAGGGGGTGTGCAGGAGGCAGCTGGTCGATGTTTCTCTCGCATCGACGTTTCTAGCTCTGTCCCTCTCCCTTTATTTCTGTGGAAAACTAACAAAATATATTTTAAAAAATAAGAAAATAAATGCACTCCTTTTCAGTGCCTTTTATCAACTATCCCTTCTAACAACTGACTGGAATGCCCACATGTCCAAAATTACATCCTAAAGATAATCTCATGTGGCCATTTACAGAAAATGGGGGGAAAGGAGCATCCAGAAAGGATAGTCCCCCTGGAGAGGATGGGCCCTGGGCCTGACAGGGTGGTAGCTATAGGAGACATTTCTAGAACATGCTGACCTATGCAATCGAGAAGTGCTTCTCACTCCGGCACACTTTGCCCCCAGGGGACATGGCAATTTCGAGATATTTTTGGTTGTCACATCTGTGGGGATGCTGCCCATCATCCTACAATGGGCAGGACAGCCCCACAACAAAGACTTACCTAGCCTAAACTGGTTTGGCTCAATGGATAGAGCATCGGCCTGCGGACTGAAGGGTCCCGGGTTCGATTCCAGTCAAGAGCATGTACCTTGGTTGCGGGCACATTCCCAGTGGGGGGAGAGGGGGTGCAAGAGGCAGCTGATCAATGTTTCTGACTCTGTCCCTCTCTCTTCCTCTCTGTAAAAAATCAATAAAATAGCCGAAACCGGTTTGGCTCAATGGATAGAGTGTCGGCTTGGGAACTGAAAGGTCCCGGGTTCGATTCCGGTCAAGGGCATGTACGTTGGTTGCGGGCATATCCCCAGTAGGGGGTATGCAAGAGGCAGCTGATCAATGACTCTCTCTCATCGATGTTTCTATCTCTCTCCCTTCCTCTCTGTACAAAATCAATAAAATATATTTTTTTAAAAATCAATAAAATATATATATTTTTAAAAAGACTTATCTAGCCCAAGATGTTAATAGTGGTAAGGTTGACAAATCCCTCTAGAGACAGCTGCCACAGATTAAGGAAAGGAGACCAGTACAGTTTAGTAGCTGCCTCTGCAGCAGGACAGACCATGCCATGACATTTGGAGTTTATCCAAAATGTCATGAGTGACTTGGAGGTTCTATGAAATCACTAGGCAATCTCTCTTCAGTGCACACATTTATATACACACATGCTAGTATGTATCATATATATTATAATTCCATGCTTCTCCCTCCAGGTCTGATCTGCTGAGTATTTCCCAGTTACGTCTTGCCAGTATGCCGAGCTTTACAGTGACTGTAGCAGACTGTTCTTTCAGGGATTTCTGAATCCCAGAAGCTCATACAAGAAATCAGTCCCCACTCCCCTCATTTCTTTTCTGTCCATGGTCACATCTAATCCTACATCCTAAACTTTCCATCTGTCGGTAGTCTTCCTGGTTGTATATTTTGTTCACAAAAACATTAATCACTATTTCACTAGGTAATGATGCTCTATACTCTAACCACCCACCATCTGATATCACGGAATGCATCACTGCATTTCATTACCCATGAACTTTCTGATGCTACGTCACTGAAATATTTTTGAATAGACTTATCCTATATAATAAAAGGCTAATATGCAAATCAACCAAATGGCAGAACAACCAATCACTATGATGTGAACTGATCACCAGGGGGAAGACACTCAATGCAGGAGCTGCCCCCTGGTGGTCAGTGCCCTCCAACAGGGGGAGCACCTCTCAGCCAGAAGCCAGGCTCATGGCTGGCAAGCACAGGAGCCTCTCCCACCTCTGCAGCAGCACTAAGAATGTCCTACTGATGGCTTAGGTCCACTCCAACATCCCCCAAGGGCTCCTGGGCTGGGCTGAGGGATCCCCCCTCAAGTGCATGAATTTCGTGCACTGGGCCTCTAGTTAATATATGAATGAGATAAAACGTGTATCTCAGGTAAACAGCTCTATAAAGGTCTCCATATCAGGGGAGATCGATATATGCTTGTGTGTGTATATATATAACATACACATACAATACATGCTTCTATAAACTCATTAAAATTTTTACCTAGCTTTTAAAAGGAAGGAAAATATTTAGCATGGTATTTAGTCTTAGACAGCAAAGCAACTTTTACCAATTCCATTATTCACATAATATAATTTTGGCATAATGTACATTTATGTAAAATCCTGACAATATAGTTTTAAGTCGAGGCTTAACCTGATAATTTTTTAAAATATATTTTATTGATTTTTTTTTTTTTACAGAGAGGAAGAGGGAGGGGTAGAGAGCCAGAAACAACAATGAGAGAAAAACATTGATCAGCTGCCTCCTACACGCCCCCTACCAGGGTTGTGCCTGCAACCAAGACACACGCCCCCGACTGGAATCGAATCTGGGACTCTTGAGTCCACAGGCTGACGCTCCATCCACTGAGACAAACCGGTTTCGGCGTGACAACTTTTTAAATTACAAAATTCAAAAGCCAAACCAAACACCCAAATTCACCTACATCATTCATTTGTTCATACAAACAATATTTATTACTTACACATAAACAAGGTACTTTGCTAGTCAACACAGATACAAAGATATGACATCTCTTCCCACAAGTAGCCCACAGTCTCCCAAATAAGAGCATGCAGAAAGAGCAAGACGGTGTAATAAATGCTAAAAGACACTGTCACCTGTGGTAGCTCCAAAACAAGCATAAGCAACTAAAAGGGAAAACTGGGATGAAGGAAGGTGTCACAGAGGAGGGGATTGTAAACCCATTTCCGATTGCTCCACTGAAGGCTGTCACCTATGAGTGCACTGTCCTTATAATGAAAAGACTATCTGTGACCCAACTTCAAGAGACAAAGCACTGACTGGTGTTCCTCTCATAATCTTGTGGGGAAATGGCACATATTTTAGAACTTACTGGCTAAGGCAGTGGTCGGCAAACTCATTAGTCAACAGAGCCAAATATCAACAGCACAACGATGGAAATGTCTTTGGAGAGCCAAATTTTTTAAACTTAAACTTCTTCTAATGCCACTTCTTCAAAACAGACTTGCCCAGGCTGTGGTATTTTGTGGAAGAGCCACACTCACAGGGTCAAAGGGCCGCATGTGGCTTACGAGCCGCATTTTGCCGACCATGGGGCTAGGGTCAGCAGTGAGGGTATGGCCAAAGTGAGATGGAAGGTAAGAATTGAGTCTGCAGCCCTACCAGCATGGCTCAGTGGTTGAGTGTCAACCTATGAACCAGGAGGTCATGGTTCGATTCCCAGTGAGGACACATGCCCGGGCCATGGGCTTAATCCCCAGTGTGGGGAGTGCAAAGGACAGCTGATCAATGATTCTCTCTCACAATTAATATTTCTCTCTCTCTCCTCCATACCTCTCTGAAATCAA